ACATAGGAACCGTAGGTGTTAAGGGGTTACACGTAGTTGGGAACATAGTACCCTGTGTCTTGAACACACGAATGTAATCCAACTGAAAGAGAAATCGAACATCTTATCGGTTTATAGGAGCTGACTGATCTCAGCCGCCAGATAGGAGAGATCTTAGTTGTACTAATTTAGGTTAAGATATTCTATAGGTTTAAATGTAAATAAATTTCACCCCCTTTTAATATTAAAGATACGTTCCTTGCGAGGCGTCTTTGGGGGTTGATAGCTGATCACTAGGAGTCAGCAGCACCTCCCTGAGGTAGATAGTTACTCTTGAGCACTAAGTGCTATCGATTTACTGAATAGTTTGGTCCCCTGGAACAAGGGCCATAATCCTTAAGCTTGTTGACTCATTATGTCTAGTTTTGTAGAACTAAGTTGCTCGTTGAGCGTTAAGCCTTCCTCTGGCTTTAGGAGCTGTGTAGCTTCGCTACATAACCGCTCGGAAAACTAACCGCTTTTACCGGAATATCTCTTGCTCGCATGAGCAGTTGGTGATAACCATCGACTAAGTCGAGCGCACTGTACTATGCATATCCCACTATATTGTTCTGAAAATCGGTGTTTATACCGGAATGTTGGCAGCTTTGAGCCTTTTACAAGCATGGGATATGCGCCACTTACCATGTTGCTTCCTGACACAAAATGTCGGTGTCGCATGGGGAGATTGAATCTAACGATTCATTCCATCCGCGTAATTTGCACAAAAGAAATTGTCATTGATGTTACACTGTTCTTTAGGCAAAGGTCACTGTCGTGTTACACAGAATTTAGTTCCTGTAGCTAAGTCAATTTCATGACGTACACCTCTATCAGGTGGTTAGATAGACGGTAGGTTGTGACACACCACATCTTCGAATTCCTTGACTAAGAGATGGAATGAATCCAAAGGATCTTTAAGGATCGAAGATCCACTTCGCGCACTAAGTGCCGCCTTAGCGTCCTTTAGAACCGGCTCATCCATTATTGACGACCTGCTCAACTCGACATCGTGTCTAATGACCACTTTATCGGATAAAACTCCTGCCTTTAAATTCTGGCTAAACTCGCCATCAGAAATTTTGTCTAGCGCACACAGAACATCCAAAGATGGAAGGATTTCAAGGCTAAAATTGCCACCAACCTGACCAGTCACTCCATTACTAAGAGTTTTTAGTGTATTACTATTATCGCTCAGTAATTATATGGACGCCTGGCGCTTTATAGTTGACACCTGGCTTCCAAGTCGTCTCTTTGAAACCTTACACCCCTTAGGGGTCAGGATAATACTGCTCCTTTTTATTACTTCTAAAACTAGTGCGCTTTATACGAGAGCCATGTCTTGACCAACATCCGGTGAAGGGTTACATAAATCGAACGCTTTACCCAGTGGATTTTCACGTGCCACTCCACGTACATTTTACGAGCCTAGCCCTGAACTGAACAACATTTCGCCAATAACTTCATTACCGACATCGAGGGTGGTGCCTTCACGGCTGACCGCACTTGGTGCATTTTCACGTGCCACCACACACATAACCAAAGGAATCACATTCTTGATAACTTTACCCTAGGCCAACCATGATTTCAGCATGCAATGACTCTTTATCAAAACAAGGAGCACTCAGCGGAGTACGTGCCGTTTCACCGAAATCTAACAAGCTACGCTCGGAATCTATGTTCGTAACATTGGAGCTAGACAAATCAGACATTACAATGTCCATCACAATGACATCTTCTTTCAAAGGATCGCACCAGTAGTGCTTCTGCTTCCTAGCGAAGGTGGGTTCATGACTCTCCAAAACTTCACTAGGAACGTTGCGCGTGGCGCCTAAGTTATTTTACCTCCAATTAACCCATGGCTCATGGCGTTCAAACCAAGATATACCAAAAATGAGATCACATCTCGAGTCTAAATCAAGAACAAGGCAGCGTCCAATGCTTTCAAATATAAAAAGAGCTGTACACCCAAGTTCAACGGAACTTTAGGTACGGTGAAACGAGTACCTGTCGCAAAGCGAACCGTGATATAATCACCCTCATGCGCTGTAAAAGCCTCAGCATAATGCTGAATTCCCTCAAGGGAACGACGTCGAGCGTAGTTGCAAGACGCTACATAGTCAATCAATATCGACCAAGGCCTCTTGAAACCCATAATTTTCGCCTCGACGACTAACAAGCCAAACTTGTATCCACGCTCCATATTAAGAGTTACGGAGATCTTTGGGGCTAAGCCCTTTAATTTACCTCCTAACTGTGTGACGTAACCCGGTTCTTCCCCAGTAGGGCGCCCCGCGACTACTGGGAGCTGTCGTTGTCCCGCTCCGTAATCAATTTTTGAGTTTGGAGGCGGATTGCGGCTCGGCCAAATTTGGCGCGGCTTCCCAGTGGGCACTGAAGACGCAAGTGCTTGGTGCTCCCGCACATGTAACATCTACGGACGCTACGTTGCTGTTCAACAGCCAGACGATCTCGCTCATCTTCTTTAGCATGGCTGAGGTCATTGGGATCAGCCCCGTCAAATGATCTCAGGGCATGCCCATGAGTGCCATAGCGACCGGCTTTAAAGTTTAACTCAGCCTTTTAACGCTACTTCTACGGCCAATTAAAACGTTGAGGGGTGGACGCGGAAGACTTCCGCCCTCGCAACCCCCGTACGAAGGCCGTCCATTAAAAATGGTGACACGGACTTGCTCTGGAAGAGGGTCCAGCTGCGTAGCAGCTATGAAAGCTCGCAGATCTTATGCAAAGTCCGATAAATCTGTCTTTCCTTGCCTGGCGGCTGTGAATCGAGAGCGAACACGATACGATTGGTTCGTTGTCTCGAGCCCTGATATATCTCTTGTTTCAGCGAATCCCATGCGGGAAACGCAGCTCTTACCGACGTATCACAGGTAAGAGCCCATTCTTTGGCTCTACCACCGAGCCTTGAAATGGCTAGGCCAACTTTCTGTCGCTCCGATTGAAGCAAGGAGGCTTCAATAGCCATATAAATTTCTCGGATACAGAGGAGAAGACTTTCCTCCTATTTTCCCTCGAAAGTCTTAACGCCAAGAGTGATCGGACGAGTCGTCGACTCACTGTCAGGTACTGGAAAGTACCGTGTAGGTACGGCTGAGGCTAAATGGTCTTGGACCTGCCCTATCAGCGTGGATTTAAACTTCATAAATGCATTAAGACGTGCATTAAGCACTTCTGGGCCTTGGGCCACAATGTGGTCGACCTGCTCGACCCCGATCAACGATCTAAGCCTATCAAGCACGATACGTTGAGCCTCAGAGGGATAGGCAAGACCCTCCATCTCTCACAGAGGATTAGTCGCAACGACTCAGGTGTAAAATTGACTACAAGTGCTGCCAAGTGTAGCGGAGCTATGCAGCTCTCTAAGTCATAAGGAGAATTAATAACAAGCCAACGGCTCACGGCTGACAGCCTATTAGTTCTGCGGAGCTAATATATCGAGTTAAAGAGTCACCCAGTTCTACGGAACTCGGGTGGACTCTACGAGCTAACAGCTTAACTAATGTGTAGTTCTAGATAACCACAAGCACAATGCGCAGGGTAATAGGAGTCTAAGGACTCCCTAAGCTACGGCAGTTTTAAGGAACTGCTTGGCACAATCTGCGAAAGGGGAGGGGAAGTCTAGGAACTTCGGCTCAAAATGAGAACTGAACTTTGTTTCTATTTTACATAAAGGAAATCCTGCTTTATGTACCTCATATTATATTAAACTAGAACTAATACAAAAATTAGCATACAGACAAAATGGATGGTTGCCACATCACTCAGTCATCAAATGATGACAATACAAAGTACGTGTACGGTAAGTACCGTGAACCTGGGAATATCGATCAATCGATTTTCTCTTGCTGATATAAAATCTAAGGGCACACACATTCATCCATATCATTTAGAGGAAGTATTTGACCAATTTAGACACAGGCTAGTGTGACCCCGTTGCATTGCCACGATAAAACGGGTGTGACGTGAGCTGCTTCTCCACTCAAGTTAGAGTAGCGACGCGGTCGAGGAGGCGATTAACATGGTTATGAATTGTCGGTGAGATGTCTTTACTTGAGGCGGCAGCAGATTGGAGGCTGCAGGAAGCCTCCAGATGGTCGAAAACATCAAGGAGTGGCGTCTCATGGACGAATTGGATTGAAATGTTCACTGGCTGAATATGTAGTTATTGATGAGGAGGTCGAACACGGTGTTGCCTTTGAGAATGGTGCCAGAGCAATGGCACGCAGTGGGCATGTGGCACAATTTTTGGTAGGGAAGATGGAGAGTCTTTGCTCTTCGCACACATTTCATACGAAATAGGCACACAATGAACACGTCGCTTGCATTAATCGAGACATTCTGTTTGCGTACGAGCGTCAAGTTCAAAGCACGCCCAAATAGGTACGAAAGAAGACTCAGCAAAGCCGCTTCCCGGTAGTCAGTAAACGCGCATGCTTTTATGTGCAAATAGTACATCATCCGGCTCCAGTCAGTCTTCACACATGTATTGGCTTTTTTACAAATCCGCCACCTTCTCTCTTGACACAGCAATTCTCCAGCGTTTTCCCATTTTGAGTAGCCGTGAGTCTAGTTTAGCACGCTGCTGCGGAAACTGATCCAGCAACCAATGCTGGGGATCTCGGTAGTTGTTGGTGCTATGTGCAGATGGGATGATCGTGGTGACAAGAGATGCACCACATGGGAAAGGACGACACAACGGGATTGTGCGTAACTGTTGATGGTATAGAAATGTTTTTATACCATGCACAACGTGGGAGAGAGTACACAATGGGATTGTGTGTAACGATGAGGTACATCTCATCGTTAGTTAGTTTTATCGGGGAGTCGATATGAATAGGCTTAGAGTAGAAAAGTTGAACTAAGGACCTAGCTAACATTAATTTACTTTTCATTTTATCCTCTTCTCGTTGCATTAGTGATAACAGTACCCTTGGCTACCCTAAAAAAAACAAAATGTTATGAACCCGACTGCGTTCGACGCGAACGACATACTACGCGAAGGCAATTACTTCGTGTGGGAGTTCAACGCGAGAATGAGGCTGGCAAAGAAGGGGCTACTGGAACACCTGGATGCTATGAAGGCCCCAGAAGAAGGAGACATTGCTGCGTCAACTTGAAAAGTCGACGACATGGAGGCCTTCGCGATCGTGACGACGATGATAAGCACAAACCTGCAGTCAATGGTTCGACTGGCGAAGTGAACTACAGAGGCATGGAAAACACTCAAGAATTTCTTCTTGCGGCAAAGTATGCACAATCGTGTACAGCTGCAACGGCAACTACACGAGTTCAAGTTGGCCAAGAGAGGAAGCATAATGGACCACTATCTGCTATTCGACGAGCTGTGCATGACTATGCAGGCCGTCGATCAAGTAATGTCACCAGATGAGCACTTGGTAATTCTTTGGGCAGTCTAACGAAAGACTATGATTCAATTGTCAAGATCATCGAGAACATGGCTGATGTGACACTGTTTCATGCGAAGGAGATGCTAAGACGGGAGTTTGATGGGATGGTGAGAACGGAGCACCATGAAGTTGCTTTGAAGACAACTTATACGCCGAGGTACAAGAATGAACCTCGACGATTTGGAGGACGATCAAGTCCTGGTCAAAGAGATGGCAAGTTTGCGGGAAGATGTCACAAATGTAGCAAACATGGTCACAAGCGTCAGGACTGCTAGGCTGATCAAGAAAGCAAAAAGAGATTAGGAGAAGAAAGAGCATTTACTGCGTCAAGCCGGACGCCAGCTGGGTGGTAATTAGACAGTTGGGATAGCAGCCACCTGTGTCTCGACAAAGATGAGTTCACAGAGATAAACTCACTGAAGGACCCGATTATGATTACTATCGCAGACGGAAACGAGGTAAAATCTTAAGGTATCGGGACAGTGCGTGTGAAATTACAAACAGAAGACGTAGTCAGGATCGAGGAGACACTCTGGGTCCCGGTCTATACCGAAGATTACTTTCGACTTCGGCACTGTCAAAGAAAGGTCTTGAATTCATCTTCTTAGATTTGAGATTTCAAATAAGAAGCGACACAGAGGTAATTGCAAGTGTACTAAGAAGAGACAAGATGTACGTGCTAGAGTGCAGTCCGGCTGAGTCAGCGAACGTGTGTCAAGAGACTGACCAAGAACACAGAACAAGCAGCGGATCAGGAATGGCCGATTTAAAGGTGTGGCATGCACAATTAGGCCTTTTGCCCACGAAACTAGTTCAAGACATGGCAGACTGCGTCGATAAATTGAAGATAAAAAGGACCCAGGATGGTCATAATGATGATGAGATATGCGAAGGTCTCATGATGGGCAAGTCAATTGTCAAGACCTCCCCAAAATCAATTCACGGGAAGGTGAAAACTAAAAAAGAATCGGAGATCATCCACAGTGATGTTATAGGACCCATGGAGAAAAAGTATCAAGGAGGGTCAAGATTCGTTGAACATTAATCGATGATTTCTCCAGATATATAGTCGCACACTACATATCGAACAAGTCCGACTTGATTGATCCTTTTGTCGAGTACAAGGCACTGATGGAGAATCAATTGTCAAAGAATATCAAGTGTATTAGGACAGACAACGGAACAGAATACATAGACATACATTTCTCTGGAATGTGCTAAAATTTCGGAATCGTGCACCAGACGACGGTGCCATTTTCGCCACAACAGAATGGGCTGGCCGAACGAATGAACATGACGCTAACGGAGCAAGCATAAGGTATGCTAAGTCACATGCAAATGGACAAGATTTGTTGGGCAGAGGCCATAAATACAGTGGTCTACGTGACAAACGGAGTTCCATGTGCCAGTCATCCGACCAAGACACCTTTCGAAATGATCAACGGAAAAAACCTGATCTATCTGCGATTGGTTTTCGGTGCGAAGGGATATACACATGTCGACAAATCAAGAAGAACCAAGTTACACAAAAAGGCGTATCGCTGCATGTTTCTAGGTTGCTCTGACCATATCAAGGGCTACTGGGTATGGGATCAAGAAGCCAAAAGAGTGACGTACACGAGGTCAGCAAGATTTGATGAGCGACCGTCTCTTCAGTACATACATTTACATAGCAGACCAAGGCAGTAGGAGATTCGCACAGTCCATGATAAAGATGTTATTTCTATTGATCAAGCAATTCTAAGCAAGATTGAAGATATGGAAGTGGATGATGGTGACACAATCCAGCAAGATATTCACATGCAAGAAGGTACGACGACAGTGGAAGATCTACCAGCACAGAATTCCACTTGGACACATGGACGAGTAGAGTCTTACGAATCTGACCTTTCGTTCGAAATTGATGACGTTCCGATAATCGAAGATGTGCAAGAGATGAGTGAACAAGATTCAAGATCTGGACAGAAAGTGACAAAACAAGCCAGAAGATGGCGAATGGGTCATTTCAAGAATCTGCTATGGTTCCATTTAAATCAACTCAAAGCGGGTCATCTCAAGCACTAGTGCCAATAAATTTTCGAGGTGAAGAATATGAATTAGGTCATGAGTGTCAAGAACGTGGCACGAAACGACTTTGTATTGGATATGAACAAGCACGTGCAGCATTCGAAACCCCAACGACATTTGACGAAGCTCTTAAATCACCTCAATGCGATGAATGGAACAAGGCTATTCAAACGGAAGTAAAGTCATTACAAGACAAGAACACCTGGGAAATTGAAACGCAACGTCCAAGACAAAAGGTGATTGGGACCAAGTGGGTTTTCGCGATCAAACGTAACGAATCTGGTATAATTGAGCGCTTTAAGGCGCGTCTTGTAGCACTTGGCTACATGCAGACATACGGCATGGATTATATGGAGACATATTCTCCAGTGGCGAATCTCAATTCAATTCGAGTGTCTTTGGCGGTGCGCTGTCAAAAGGGGATGTTTATCCATCAACATGACATCTACACTGCATTTCTAAACGGTGTTTTGGTTAAAGAGGTAAACGTATACCCTCCATTGGGTATACAAGCAGATCATGATCAAGTATTAAAAAATAAACCGCAGCCTATTTGGACTCAATCAAGCGGCGGTGACATGGCTCAAGACAATTTTGTGTGTTTTTGTGGGATTTCGATCATGTGTGGCAGACTCATGTATCTTTGTCAAGCATACTAAAGGATCGTGGATTTACCTTGCACTATAGGTTGATGATCTTTTTATAGGAGCTGAATTGATGTGCGCGATTAAGAATGTGGCAGATCAAATCTCACGTCAATTTAAGATGAAGATACAAGGAAGTGTTCGTGTTTTTGGAATCGAAGTCAAATACCTGCAAGATGATCGACGACTGAAGATCAGTCAAGGATTGTGCATATCAAGGACGATCGAGAAGTTCAATCAAGTCGACTCAAAAATTGTATCGAATCCAAGTGTTGAAGGGCAAACTTTGGTCAAGATGGACAAGACTGACCCAAGAATGAAGAATCGACCATATCGGTCGTTGGTTGAGTCTTTATTGTACGTGGCATCAGGCACAAGACCAGATATCTCATATGCAGTATGTAAGCTGAGCCGATACCTCGAATTTTCACATGACGAACACTGGTGCTGCAATTCGTGTATTGCGGTATTTGAAGATGTCGAAGGACAAAGGAATTTGTTTTGAAGGTATTTCTGATGATTTGCAGCTGAGTGCGTATACGGACACAGACTGGGCAAGTAACAAGGACAACCGCAGATCGACATCTGGAGTTTTAGTCATGATCAATGGCGCACCAGTGATCTTTAAGTCAAAGATGCAGCAGAGTGTGGCATTTAGTACGGCCGAAGCCGAATACATGGTTCTCTCTTTGTGTGCACAGAGAGTGCTATGGACAAAGAGTTTACTGAAGGAGATGCAAGTGCAGATCAACTATGCGATACCAATTTACGAATACAATAAGAGTGCAATTGCAATTGCTACAAACGACGGGTATCAAAGTCGAGCGAAGCATATCACCATCAGGTACCATTTTGTGCGCGAGCAAGTGAAAGACAAAATCATCGTGCTACAGTATACTGAAACCAAGCCACAGCTGGCGGATTTCCTCACCAAGCCGATTTCGACAAAGAAGTTTGATTAACTGTTGGACAAGGCCAAGATCAGAGACTTCTAGTCGAGGGAGAGTGTTGGTGCCATGTGCAGATGGGATGATCGTGGTGACAAGAGATGCGTCACATGGAAAAGGACGACACAACGGGATTGTGCGTAACTGTTGATGGTATAGAAATGTTTTTATACCATGCACAACGTGGGAGAGAGTACACAATGGGATTGTGTGTAACGATGAGGTACATCTCATCGTTAGTTAGTTTTATCGGGGAGTCGATATGAATAGGCTTAGAGTAGAAAAGTCGAACTAAGGACCTAGCTAACAATAATTTACTTTTCATTTTATCCTCTTCTCGTTGCATTAGTGATAACAGTACCCTTGGCTACCCTCATAATAAAACAAAAGTAGTGTATAGAACTAAAAATACGTAATAGAAAGACTTTACTTTCGGACGCGTGCCAGACGCGTTTCAGCCCACTGACGCGGGTCACCTTAGTGGCTTACCGAACGCAAAGTGAGACCTCTTAGTGCAGCAGCCTCTGCCTCTGCCACACATTTCCCTATTTATCGAGCACCTCTTATACAAACTAAATTAAATTTTTTATAGCAGACTTAACCGGTGTACAACTAGTATACGGCTAGGTACGAAATATCACTTTCCAACAGGTAGTATTGCGTGCAAGAATTTCGAGCATGTGGCTTGTCAGCTCTGCCTTCATGTAATCAAGACGCATATCGAATTTACTCATTACAGACGAAAAGCACTGGTCAGATTTGTCTAGCTGAATGTCCTCGATATGCTCTAGATCAGCATTATCGGACTATAGAAACCGCAAGAATATCTGTACAGCAGTTGCTCTGGCTTGCTTGGAGTTTCCAGGCTGCATATCGGCGTAACTCATTTGAAGTTCGACAGTACGCAAATATGCAAATGACACATTCTTGACTTGGGTTTGTTTTGACAAACGCAAATCTGGCAAGCTTGTGGCTGCAGGTAGGCACACTCATTTGAAGTCGGACGGCACGCAAATATGCTATTGATGCACCCGTAACTAGAGTTTTGTATGAACATACACCTATCTGGTCTTCTCCTCCGACCCAATACGTTGTAGCAGCAGGCGTGCCCTACTTCCCTACCCCTACGCATTTGGCCGAAAATATGTCAATATTCTCTTCGATTGGATATAAATACATGGCTAAAAATTTTATTCGCTCGTCCGTCGCTTACAAACACTCAGTCAGATCGGAAGAGTGACGATACTCATCCTTATCCCAATTTAAAAAAAGGCAAATACTGGATCTAGTCGCAGAATCGTCGCATAAAAGAAAAAAAAGGAACAACGACGTTCGAATACATTGTTACTTCTTGTTTGTATTTTCTTGCAACTATGCGTCAATATTCCGTCCGGCCACGAAAGGGTGAAACACGTGATCAAGCCATGTCCCGTGTTGCCGAGAAACACTCTGATCATACATGCGAGTTAATCTGGCACGAAGACCTTCGTCGATCCAAGAAACAAGCAACAAAGCGCCAGGAAACAGGGATTAGGTACCTCTCGGAAACTGCTGGGCATACTCCTCGTCCTCTACAGGACCTTGTCTCCGTGGCCTTAGACGCGTCTAGAGTCAGCTGCGAGTCTCTTTGACGTGGACTTGAACAACTGGGAATACTTGACAAAAAATCTTTCCAAGCATTGTGCGGACACCTCTCCGTGCATAAACGGCGAACGCTCTACAGAGTGCAGGCAGAACGACCTTTTTACGCTCAATGAGCGTCTACGACGTGTTGCGTATTTGGTACTGGCAAAGAAGCTAGCCAATACCGGCACTGTAACGGGGCACCCTGAAGCTTGTACTGGTGACAGTACAAGCTACTTATTCTGATAACAGAATAAGGCGGTGCCTCGTAACTTCACGTACACTCGTACGTGCAGAGGAAGACGGTAAGAAGAAGCGAGTACTTGGTTAAAGTAAAAAGTAGAACTGTATTTATAATAGTTAATGTCTGCAATAAATCCCTATTTATCTTCATCTAACTATGTCTAAATACAAATGTGTAAATCAGTTATCTGCTCACCACTCATTGCGTGCGTCTGTCGTGGCGCGTCTTCGTTGGTTGATATAATGGCCTATATCAACCAATTAGGAACTACTTGTAAGTGCTACAGAATATTTGTCCTTATGACAATATTCTGAGAATATAACTCTTATAGTTATATTCTATTAACAATTTCTTATAAATTGTTATGTAACGATTCACCCCGTTACATCACCCCCTAACCATCAGTCACTTTAGTGACTGATTGACTAAATGGATACTCGTCCCAAATCATTTGGGACGGGGTTTGCACTTGTTGGTCCGCGTCCACTTTCCAACATCTCATCGCATGGTAAACAAGCCCATGCGATGCGCGAGCAAGGCCGCCGAGAGCGCGTCTGCACGTCTCTGTGCGGACGCCGAAGCAGAGACAACAGCAACTGATGTCCCATCGGTTGCTGAAGAGACCCAGCCTGTGTCACTTGGTGACGCAGGCGCTGGTCATGAAGACACTCGTGTCTTCACAGAGTACGAGCTCGGTGTCTCGTACTCTCCTGATACGGATGACGGATCCGTATCGACGGCAATTGAATCCAAGCCGCCTGCCAAGCGTGGCATGGACGATGCTTTGCGTCGCAGCATCTTTGGTTCATCTGACGAATCAGATGAACCATCGCCGAAGCGAAGGCGCTCGAGGTCGCGAGACTCGGGCGCTAATAGTGGTGTCGGTTCTCCAATGGACACCACTTCGCAGCGAGGTGCCAGTACTTCTGTCGGCACGTCGCAGGAAGAGCGGGACCGCAATGTGTTGCGTCTCGCTCCAGAAAAGAAGGCATGGATGCCTCCTAAATCCGTCATGGATCACTTGTCGGCGACGACGAGTGATCGTTATCGAACACGATTGTTCGATTCGTCAAGGATTCATCACCTTGACCCCAGCGCGAAAGACTATCGCGCTGAACATGAGTTCTTCATCGATGCTTTCTTCAGACATCGATGGTACAGTGGGAATCACAAACGTGATGGTCCCTCACTACTTCAGGCGTGGAACGCCTACATCCATAATCTCGAGGATGTAGGTCGTGACGCTTGGAACGACAAACTTATCAAAGCTCGTGATAAGTTTGAAAAGCGAACCCCGACAGGTGCACGCTACAAGCTGCATCGTCTGTCAAGGGAGAAAGGATTACCCTGCCTCTCTTGGGGAGACTCGTGCCCATGTTGTGTGAACAACTCTGCACGAGCACCTAAGGAGGCTTACCTCCTTACCAGCCCGTGGTGGCGCGTACGTGTCTCTACTGAGATGTACGAAGGGATTGACAACCTGAAATCCCTTTACGACCGTGCCGGGAAGACTTTCTCCGGCGGTCCTTCTGCGGCACAGGATGTGTCGCGTCGTACTGCTCGACCAGACCCAGTACGTCAACCATCAATTGGGAGCGGGGCTCCCAAGAATCCCAGGACGGGGGATAGCCGCGCCACCGGACGAGGTAACTCGTCCGACGTCCGTTCACGTCGCGGTGGTTCAACAGCTGCTCAACTAGATAGCGCTGGCCACCGCGAGAGTCCTCTAATGGAGGTGGAGGAGGAGGAAAGACGCTCTCCACACGATCATGTGGATCGGTGTGTTCCCGAGAGCTTCTTTGATCGCGTAACGCAAGGGTTACGCGACGATCTCGAGCATGAGCGGAATAGGCGTCTCCAGATGGTGGACACTGCCTCGAAGCATCGAGCTGAGTTTGCCTTTGCTCAGCTTGAGAACGAGAGATCTCTGACATCTCTTCGTGACGAGCTAAGGGTAGCTCGTGGGATTGTTGATCGGTCTCGGGCTGAGATAACTGCTCTTCAGACCCTTGTTGATGCCCACCATCGGGAGCACAAGGCTCTCTGCGAGATGCTTGAGCGCAAGGGCGTTCTTCATCGGAAGAAGCAGCGTACTGACGGTACGGCTTAAGCCGACCAACGTAAAACGTGGGATGCGTTCGCATCTTACGTGGTAACTCGATCGTGTATGCATTGCCTAGGCGGTGCAATACACGAAATGGGCCAATGTACTTGGGTAGTAGTTTACTGCTACCCAAGTTAGTCACTACATGCTTTGGTAGATTAACCGTAGACAGTAGGACTAAGTCACCTTTACTAAATAAAAGAGTGTTTGCCCTTCCATTCTTGTCAGCGTTTTGCTTTTGCTTATCCACCGCTTCGGCGATGGAGTCTTGCACAAAATGGACTACCGTTTCACGAGCCAGTATGAACTCATCTGATGACTCGTTAGCTTCAGTGTGCTGTGAGCGCACTGCAGCAACAACAACCTTTTCTTCAGTGAGGGCTTCCGCACTCTCACTGGGATCATTGTCTTCAGTGAGGGCTTCCGCACTCTCACTGGCATCATCTTCTTCGATATTGATGTTATCGATATCGGCATCAAACGCAATGACTTCTTCGTCAGAGCGTGATGAGCGTGAACCAAATCGGTTTTTGCTCGCGCGAGTCCCTCCCCCCTTAAACCAGAGTTACACTCTAGTAAGGTGGGTACACGCGGATGGCGCAAGCCATTCACGTAAAACGGTGTATGTGTCGTGGACGCATGCACCGAGTTGTTGATGGCAAACTCTACCATCGGCAAAAACTCACTCCAACTCTTAAAGGAGTGTACGTATCCTCGAAGTATCTCTTCAAGGACACGATTGGCACGTTCCGTCTGACCATCTGACTCTGGATGATCAGATGTTGACATCTTCAAGCGCGTTCCGAGTGATTTGAACACGGAACGCCAGAAATCAGCAGTGAATCGTGGATCTCTGTCTGATACGAGTTCACGGGGCAACCCATGAAGTCGGAAGATGGTGTCAATAAAGACACAAGCACAGCCACTTGCCGTGATTGTCTCTGGTACAGCCACAAGGTGTACCATTTTGCTGAATCTGTCAACAAATACGAGAATACCCGTATTCCCGCGTGCGTCTTTGGGTAACCCGAAGACGAAATCCAT